TGGCCGGGGCATATAGTGTTACTCTGTTCCGTCATTCCGTCCGTCCGTCCTTCCATCCTTCCGTCATTCTGTCATTCCGTCATCATCAGTTTCCGTTCATTATCTTAAGAACGGTTGCACACATTCAACTCAAATTTGATATATGGATATGTCATGAGAAAATACAGGTCAAGTTCGAATTTTGTCATGGTTCGATGATTTTTGGCAGAGTTATGCCCCTTTTACTTTGAAAATAATATGAAATTTCAGTTTCCGTTCATTATCTCCTTAACGGTACAACACATTCAACTCAAACTTGACATATGGATATGTCATGAGAAAATACAGGTCAAGTTCGAATTTGGTCATGGTTCAATGATTTTTGGCAGAGTTATGCCCCTTTTACTTTGAAAATAATATGAAATTTTCAGTTTCCGTTCATTATCTCCCCAACGGTACAACACATTCAACTCAAACTTGACATATGGATATGTCATGAGAAAATACAGGTCAAGTTTGAATTTGGTCATGGTTCGATGATTTTTGGCAGAGTTATGCCCCTTTTACTTTGAAAACAATATGAAATTTTCAGTTTCCGTTCATTATCTCCCCAAAGGTACAACACATTCAACTCAAACTTGACATATGGATGCGTCAAAGGAATGGGCAGGTCAAGTTCAAATTTGGTCATGGTTCAATGATTTTTGGCAGAGTTATGCCCCTTTCACTTTGAAAGTAATATGAAATTTTCAGTTTCTGTTTATTATCTCCCCAATGGTACAACACATTCAACTCAAATTTGACATATGGATATGTTTTTGGAATGCCCAGGCTAAGTTCGAATTTGGTCATGGTTCAATGATTTTTGGCAGAGTAATGCCCCTTTCACTTTGAAAATAATATTAAATTTACAGTTTCTGTTCATTATCTACCCAACAGTGTTACATATTCAACTTAAATTTGACATATGGATATGTCAAAGGAATGGGCAGGTCAAGTTTGAATTTGGTCATGGTTTGATGATTTTTTGGCAGAGTTATGTCCCTTTCACTTTGAAAATAATATAGATACATCTTAGGAATAAGCAGTTTATGTTTGAATTTGGTCGTGGTTCAATGATTTTAGACAAACTTATCTTTCCTGAATGTTGGAAAAATTTTGAACTTTCAGTTTCAGCCCTCATACTTTAGCCATTTATAATTTTGGCTACAAATATGCAATATGCTATTTTTAAAAGGTTAAGACTGAATAATTTCAGTGCCTTGAACATTGTATGAAAATGGTTTGTGTTAACATTGAAAAGTTTTAAGGGCTTTGAACTTAAAATGAAAAAAATAATTAATGCACCATCTGAAATTTTGATTATTCCCCTTGATCTTGGAATTAATGTTAACAAATGTTGTTTTTTTTCTATAACTTAATACATAATTATACATAATGGATTTTTCTTTCATAGTTTTGTCCTCCTTACTGCGTCCAGTATTTTATTAGTCGAGCTTCGCTGTCTCCTGTGACAGCTCTTGTAGAATGGTCTATTTCCATGTTGCTGCCTGTACATATGTCGTCTTTGTTATTGTCAATCTCTTTAGGACTCCCTTGCTGAGTTGCTGTTTCTAGTAGTGATGTCTTTGGCTTATTACTTCTCTTAAACATAGAAACCTGCATCCACGTTTTGCATAGTTTTCCTGTTGCACATTGTGCACAATAACAGGACGTCTCTCTTGTCATAAAAGCTTTGCGGTCACCATCAAACATAATAGCATGCAGTTTCATCGTATTTTGGACAGGTCTGATGTTCTAAGAAGCAAATTATTGTTGTTTTTTCTCGCAAAGTTCCTTGCTGACAAACAAAATTGTAACTTCTGACATTGTAGAGGATTAAGCCCAACTATAGAAGTCATGAGCATTTTGAATAAGACAATTCCCTTGACGAGATTTCCATCAGCCATTCTTTTTTCAGTGCCACCCAAACCGTCGCATGCACTTTTGCCATGGTCAGCTTCGAAATAGTTGAATTGAGCACGAACTCCATACACCTCATTGTGGTTTGCAAGGGTGTTAAATATAAACTTGTTTCTGTATTGGCTAGATGGACTGTCTGTCCAGTAATGTACCTTTGTGAGGTTGGGAAGCAAACTTTTGATTTCTGGTAACACAGCATCCAGAAATGCAACAACAGTGCTAGAAGAATGTTGTATAGTGTCTGAAATAACAACATAGCTCTTATGTCACAACCTGCTGTCTTTCTTGAAATAGATGACAACTGGATTCAGTGTAACTGATGTCAGGCTTCAGTATGCGGTTTGCACTTCGTCAGCTGTTCGACATATATAGGTTTCCGCAAAATCCATCTGAATCAACGCCTCGTCATTTTGCAAACGTTCTTAATTTGCTTTTAGTTCTTGATACTGACTTTTTACCCTTTGTACGTGACCCCAGAAGTCTTCAATTTCCTTCTTGATTAATGTAACGAAATCTTCTCTGGTAACCTCTATTTCTACTATCATTCATTTTCTTCATCTTATTTTCTAGCTCAACCTTTTTCCATTGTCTGTATTTTATTAGCTTAATGTCTGAGTCAATTGTGTCTACCAATTCTTCTACGCTATTTCTGTGGTTACATATTTTTTCTGGGTTTTCACTTCACTTAGCACCCACTTTTCTCATTGCTGCAACCTTCATGGCCATATTTTGGTGTTTCAAACACTGGCATGCATTTCTTGATATGAACTTTGCTAGCAAAATGTGTTTAGGTCGTAAACGACAGAAAGTTGCCAGGGAAACTTTTAGCTCACTGTTTTCAGCAACAAACTTCTCATACAAATTCTTCAAGTAGTCAGTGAGGACTTTGGTTTGTTTTCCTTGTTTCACATCTTTCTTCCCAGGCTGAACTCTGCAGTTGTCCTCTCTTCCAAGGAACTCTTCTATTCTTTTCTCAATCATTTTTGAAACACATTTTCTTGTTTCTTTTACAGCTGCATGAACTTTAGTGTCAGCTTTTCTCATTGCTTTTCTGGACAATCCAATTTCAGAACTTAATGCGTTCAAACATCTATTCTTTCTTGCTATGTGACCTGCTACTGTACTGTGTAAAACACTTCTTTTCTTCTGAAGAGCTAGAGCTAAGATATTAAGCATGAAACATATTCTAATCTGTGTCCAAGTTTGTTTCAAATAAAAGCCCTGGGGTCAATATTGGCCTACGTCCGGGGGGGGGGGGGGGGGGGGGGGGGGGGGGGTATTTTGATTTTCCTTATACTAGTATGTGTATAGTAAAAACGTAAAAAAAATCTTCTTTTAAAGAACCCAAAGAGCTAGAGCTTAGATATTAAGCAATAAATGTCTACTACGTTTGTTCTAATAAAAGCCCTAGCGTCAAAATTGACTCTGCCCCAGGGGGTCATTGATTTTCATTATATGAAAATTGTAAAAACAAAGAAATCATCTTTTGAAAAACCCAAATAGCTAGAGCTTAGATATTGAGCATGAAACATCTTCTTGTGAGTTTCTACCAAGTTTGTTCAAATAAAAGCCCTGGGGGTCGAAATTGGCCCCGCCCAAGGGTGTCAATGATTTTCATTATTTTGTAGAGTAAAACTTAAAAAGTCTTCTTTTAAAAAACCAAAAGAGCTAGACGCCCATCCTCAATAATAAGGACCAAATAAGAAAAGTTAAATGATAAACTTTGGATTTTGCAAAAAGTCAAATCATTGTTTTTCATTCAAAACATATGTGTCTTAAGTATTTGAAATAAAAACATTTGCGCCACATGAACAGTGAAATATGTCTAAGTCGGATGTTTTAAAAATGTATCTGATAAATCAAAGATATTTACGTTACTGACTAATACATTTATGGTTAAACGAAGTTTAAAAATGAAAAACTCCAAACTTGTCAAACAAAATTTATTTCATCAAAAGAACATATAATACAATGAAGATATGACTGTTTGTCACAAGACTATTCATTAAGATATCTTAGCAGTAAGCATTTGATGATGGCAAATATTTTAAGACAGTACATAAAAAATACAAATGCTTATATAACACCTTTTGTAAGTTGTATTTATAATTCCTTGTTTATATGTAAAAAAATAAATTATGATTTTCGTGCATTTATCTAGGTTATATACATTCATGTCTGGGGTCCAACCTCATAAACCAATTATCATTGTGTGAACATCATTTTAAAATTACATCTATAATGTAACGTAGATATCATACTTCATCACAATTAACACATTATAGACAAACGTTGATGAACATCAAATAGAATTGCAATAACTCTGAAAATAGCAGCGACATGAATGCACATGCTTGTTAAAAACACAAATGATAAAGAAAAGCATTAATATTTGATAAACAGCACATATCTGTCTTCTTTATTCAACAGATATATGAAGATGTAGCTACTCTCAATGCCTCAAACATTAAACTATATACCACAAACATACAATTTAATCATATCTTATGATCACTTGAAAGCTTTTACATTCTCAAAGCAAAATATATGATCATGAGAACACTTTTTGGTTGGTACAATAACATAACATTTATACAATGTGGTAATGGTAACGTAGATATCAAAATTCATTACAACAGGACATTATATTCAAACATCAATTAACATCAAATACAACTGCATTAACTCTGAAAAAAGCGCCAACATGAATAAACAATCATATAATAAACACTCTGATTAAAGCATTAATATTTAATAGACAGTACAAATCTGACTCCTTAATTCAACACATATATGAAAATGTAGTTACTCACAATGATTCAAACATTAAACTATAAACCGCAAACATACTATTTGATCATATCTTATGAACATTTAACAGTATTTACAGTCTCAAGGCAAAATATATAATAAAGAAAACACATTTTGGTTGCTACAGTAACATTCTTACATTGTGGTTATGGTAACGTAGATATCAAATACATAAATAACATGTTTGCTTGTCTTGTCTCAATATTCAAATGTTTAAAATCGTGCTTGACTAATCACCACTGACATTGTTATTCGCTGTACTTCGAGATCATGGTATTGTCTTCCACCGTAATCCTAAACAGTCTCTTTGATTTTCCTGTTTGTTGAGGCTCATCAATTTTGCCAATTATATCTGAATGTGTAACCCATAAAATGTCCTCCGCTCTTGGCCATCTGTACAGTTCCTTCACTTTTTCAATGAAAGAAATCTTGTATTCACCATCTTCAGAATCAATTTCCTGAACTTTCCCAATATATACCATGCCATCATACATAACAGCTACAAAGTCGTCGACACTGAACTCATTTGTAATCACAGAGTTTTTTGTTTCTGTCATTTTTAGCTCGACTATACGAAGTATATGGAGAGCTGTCCTACTCGCCCCGGCGTCCGCGTCCAGATTTTAGATTAAAGTTTTGGTGCAGTAAAATATTTTTCACTATAACTTTGTCATTTCTTAAGGTATCAACTTCAAACTTCAAATATATGTTCCTTATCATCAACCACATCTTATGTGACAAGGTTCATAACTCTAGCACCAATATTTTCAGATTTATCTCCCCTTGAACTTAGAATTTTCCTCAAAAAATACTATTTCTTACTGTTTCTTCTTTATTTCTTAAGGGATCAACCTCATACTTCAAATATATTTACATTATCATCATCCCCATCTTATGTGACAAGGTTCATAACTCTAGCACCAATATTTCTAGATTTATCTCCCTTTGAACTTAGAATTTTCCATAAAAAATATTATTTTTTACTGTTACTTATTTATTTCTAAAGGGATCAACTTCATACTTCAAATATATTTACGTTATCATCATCCACATCTTATGTGACAAGGTTCATAACTCTAGCACCAATATTGCAAGAATTATCTCTCCATAAACTTAGATTTTTATGCCCCCGCCATGTAATGGCCGGGCATATAGTGTTACCCTGTTCCGTCATTCCGTCCTTCCGTCCTTCCGTCATTCTGTCATTCCGTCATCATCAGTTTCCCTTCATTATCTTAAGAACGGTTGCACACATTCAACTCAAATTTGATATATGGATATGTCATGAGAAAATACAGATCAAGTTCGAATTTGGTCATGGTTCGATGATTTTTGGCAGAGTTATGCCCCTTTTACTTTGAAAATAATATGAAATTTCAGTTTCCGTTCATTATCTCCTTAACGGTACAACACATTCAACTCAAACTTGACATATGGATATGTCATGAGAAAATACAGGTCAAGTTCGAATTTGGTCATGGTTCAATGATTTTTGGCAGAGTTATGCCCCTTTTACTTTGAAAATAATATGAAATTTTCAGTTTCCGTTCATTATCTCCCCAACGGTACAACACATTCAACTCAAACTTGACATATGGATATGTCATGAGAAAATACAGGTCAAGTTTGAATTTGGTCGTGGTTCAATGATTTTTGGCAGAGTTATGCCCCTTTTACTTTGAAAACAATATGAAATTTTCACTTTCCGTTCATTATCTCCCCAAAGGTACAACACATTCTACTCAAACTTGACATATGGATGCGTCAAAGGAATGGGCAGGTCAAGTTCAAATTTGGTCATGGTTCAATGATTTTTGGCAGAGTTATGCCCCTTTCACTTTGAAAGTAATATGAAATTTTCAGTTTCTGTTTATTATCTCCCCAATGGTACAACACATTCAACTCAAATTTGACATATGGATATGTTTTTGGAATGCCCAGGCCAAGTTTGAATTTGGTCATGGTTCAATGATTTTTGGCAGAGTAATGCCCCTTTCACTTTGAAAATAATATTAAATTTACAGTTTCTGTTCATTATCTACCCAACAGTGTTACATATTCAACTTAAATTTGACATATGGATATGTCAAAGGAATGGGCAGGTCAAGTTGGAATTTGGTCATGGTTTGATGATTTTTTGGCAGAGTTATGTCCCTTTCACTTTGAAAAATAATATAGATACATCTTATGAATAAGCAGTTTATGTTTGAATTTGGTCGTGGTTCAATGATTTTAGACAAACTTATCTTTCCTGAATGTTGGAAAAATTTTGAACTTTCAGTTTCAGCCCTCATACTTTAGCCATTTATAATTTTGGCTACAAATATGCAATATGCTATTTTTAAAAGGTTAAGACTGAATAATTTCAGTGCCTTGAATATTGTATGAAAATGGTTTGTGTTAACATTGAAAAGTTTTAAGGGCTTTGAACTTAAAATGAAAAAAATAATTAATGCACCATCTGAAATTTTGGCTGCGGGGGCATCCGTGGCATGATGACTTATTTCTAGTTTTACTAGAAAAATGTTATTTTTTATTATAACTTTTTTATTTTTAAAGGTATCTACCTCAAACTTCAAATACTTATTCCTTATCATCAATTACATTTTATGTGACAATGTTCATAACTCTTGAAGCAATATTTACATATTTATCTGTCTTTGAACTTAGGATTTTCTTTAAGAAATATAATAACTTCTTTACTTTTTAAGGTATCTACTTCAAACTTCAAATATATATTTCTTATCATTACACAAATGTTGTGTGACAAGGTCCATAACTCTAGCATGACTATTTCTAGAATTATTCCCCTTGATCTTGAAATTAATGTTAACAAATGTTGTTTTTTTTTCTATAACTTAATACATAATTATACATAATGGATTTTTCTTTCATAGTTTTGTCCTCCTTACTGCGTCTAGTATTTTATTAGTCGAGCTTCGCTGTCTCCTGTGACAGCTCTTGTAGAATGGTCTATTTCCATGTTGTTGTCTGTACATAATTATGTCGTCTTTGTTATTGTCAATCTCTTTAGGACTCCCTTGCTGAGTTGCTGTTTCTAGTAGTGATGTCTTTGGCTTATTAATACTCTTAAGCATAGAAACCTGAGTCCACGTTTTGCATAGTTTTCCTGTTGCACATTGTGCGCAGTAACAGGACGTCTCTCTTGTCTTAAAAGCTTTGCTGTCATCATCAAACATAATAGCATGCAGTTTCATAGTATTTTGGACAGGTCTGATGTTCAAAGAAGCAAATTCTTGTTGTTTTTTCCCGCAAAGTTCCTTGCTGACAAACAAAAATGTTACTTCTGACATTGAAGAGGATTTAGCCCAACTATAGAAGTCATGAGCATTTTGAATAAGACAATTCCCTTGACGAGATGCCTCATCAGCCATTCTTTTTGTAGTGCCACCCAAACCGTCGCATGCACTTTTGCCATGGCCTGCTTCGAAATAGTTGAATTGAGCACGAACTCCATACACCTCATTGTGGTTTGCGAGGGTGTTAAATATAAACTTGTTTCTGTATTGGCTTGATGGACTGTCTGTCCAGTAATGTACCTTTGTGAGGTTGGGAAGCAAGCTTTTGATTTCTGGTAACACAGCATCCAGGAATGCAACAACTGTGCTGGAAGAATGTGTTATGGTGTCTGAAACAACAACATAGCTCTTATGACACAACCTGCTGTCTTTCTTAAAATATATGACAACTGGGTGCAGTGTAACTGATGTCAGGCTCCAGTATGCGGTTTGCACTTCGTCAGCTGTTCGACATGTATAGTTTTCCGCAAAATCCATCTGAATGAACGCCTCGTCATTTTGCAAACTTTCTTTATTGGCTTTTAGTTCTTGATACTGACATTTTACCCTGTGTACGTGACCGCAGAAGTCTTCAATTTCCTTCTTGATTAATGTAACAAAATCTTCTCTGGTAACCTCTATTTCTACTATCATCATTTTCTTCATCTTATTTTCTAGCTCAACCTTTTTCCATTGTCTGTATTTTATTAGCTTAATGTCTGAGTCAATTGTGTCTACCAATTCTTCTACGCTATTTCTGTGGTTACATATTTTTTCTGGATTTTCACTTAACTTAGCACCCACTTTTCTCATTGCTGCAACCTTCATGGCCATATTTTGGTGTTTCAAACACTGGCATGCATTTCTTGATATGAACTTTGCTAGCAAAATGTGTTTAGGCCGTAAACGACAGAAAGTTGCCAGGGAAACTTTAAGGTCACTGTTTTCAGCAACAAACTTCTCATACAAATTCTTCAAGTAGTCAGTGAGGACTTTGGTTTGTTTTCCTTGTTTCACATCTTTCTTCCCAGGCTGAACTCTGCAGTTGTCCTCTCTTCCAAGGAACTCTTCTATTCTTTTCTCAATCATTTTTGAAACACATTTTCTTGTTTCTTTTACAGCTGCATGAACTTTAGTGTCAGCTTTTCTCATTGCTTTTCTGGACAATCCAATTTCAGAACTTAATGCGTTTATTCTTTCTTGCTATGTGACCTGCTACTGTACTGTGTAAAACACTTCTTTTCTTCTTTGAAATTGAAGCTTTGGCATTCTTCACTTCAGAAATAACAACATTAGCAAGAAGTTTTCTTTGTACAGTTTTTCTTCTTCTTGGTGTTAGTCTTAACTTCTCAACTTCTGCCTTCGCTTTTGATTTTGGTGACATGTCTGCAGCGACTTTCTTAATAGAAGACAAAATATTTATTTCTGACACAGGTGTAAAACATTCTGTTGTTGACTCTGATATAGATTTATTGAGTTTCGACATTGAAGGAATTGGCTTTTTCCGAATTCTCTCTAACTGTTTTGCCTTAGTTTTCAGCTTCCTTTCAAGATCTATCTTTTGCTTTTTCAGTGTTGCAATTGATCTATGTGCCCTAGCAAGTGCTCGACTTCGTGCCTTTTTAGCCCCATTTGCTCTTGATTTCATTCTAATTGCAGGAAGACTGACGATCAAGCGTTCTCTATCACCTGTAACTGGTTCTCTCTCTGTATCACTTTCTGTACTATTGGCAGCTTCACTTCCGATGCTAGCATATCCACTTTCATCATTGGATGTCCTACTTAACTCATATATTCGTAATCTATCCAACAACTCTTGTCGTCTAGTTCTAAATCGTTTGTTAGCAGCCTTCATCTTTTCATTTCTTTGTTTTCTCTTTTTGTTACTAAGTTCAGCTGATGGAATGTAATACTTTTTAACCCTTTCTCGCTCCGTCTTCTGGTATTCTGCACCTAACAGTTGTTTCTTGTGTTCTCTGTACTCTTTTTGTATCGGAGCCTGCGATTTCCCCATCTGAAAGAAGACATCAAGGTTATTTTAAGACAAAACGTATATATGATATCTACGTTACCATTTGAACGTACTTTATATAATATGTTCTCATAGCAATATGTTGATTTAATTATGTTTACCATGTAAATATGAATATACCAGGCTGTCCAGCGTCCCTAAAATTCCTAAAAAATCCTAATTTTTTTCAGTTTGGCTAAAATTCCTAAAGAAGTGAATAATTCAAAGGGAATTCCTAAAAATGCCCTATTTTTTCACTGAAATTCCTAATTTTTTTATCTTTTGTTATAAACATACTTATAACTTGTAACCCTGCGAAAATGGTCTTGAAAATGTTTTGGTCAAAACTCAAAATTGGTGACTATAAGGTTTCGTTCCAACTAAAAGTTACTTTGACTATGTCAGTAACATTACTTTTTCATAATCAAAGCAGTTGTTTATAATCATGTTGACAGTTAACAGCAAAAATACTACCATATCATGGTCCTGAAACTTAAATCATATCCATAAGAGGTCCACTTATTAGTCCCCTACCGGTTTACCGGAGGGGACTTTAGGTTTACCCTCCGTCCGTCTGTCCGTCTGTCCGCACTCACAGGAGAGTAATTATGTGGCTAGAGGGACAATAGGTTCTCTTTGATGTCATTCATTCCGTAATGCTTTTATGTGGCTATTTTTCTTTTGCGTGGCTAAAAGAACAATAGAGAGAACAATAGAGTAGCCACATAATTACTGTCCTGTGAGAACGTCCGTCTGTCCGTCCGTCAGTCCGTCCGTCCACAAAACTGGATCCCGCGATAACACAAAAAGTACTGAAAATATTTTAATGAAACTTGGTATATGGATAGATGGCAGTATGGAGATTATGCACGTCTTTTTTTTTTCTTCCTATGTTGAAAATTCTGGTTGCTATGGCAACAAATAGACTGAAAATATGGCAAATTTTACACATAACCTGGATCCCGCAATAACGCAAAAAGTACTGAAATTTTTTTTATGAAACTTGATATATGGATAGATGGCAGTATGGAAATTATGCACGTCTTTTTCTTTTTTTCCAATGCTGAAAATTCTAGTTGCTATGGCAACAAATAGACTGAAAATATGGCAGATTTTACACATAACCTGGATCCAGTGATAACGCAAAAAGTATTGAAAATATTTTTATGAAACTTGACATATGGGTAGATGGCAGTATGGAAATTATGCACATCCTTTTCTTATCTTCCTGTGTTGAAAATTCTGGTTGCTATGGCAACAAATAGACTGAATTTCAAGATTTCTTATTCTAGTTTTTAAGTTTTTTCACTATAAGTTCTTTATTTCTTAAGGTATTTTCTTCAAACTTTAAAAATAAGTTGCTAGTCATCAACCACATCATATGTGACAAAGTTTACAACTCTAGCACAAAATTTATCAGAATTACCTCCCTTGAACTTAAAATTTTCATGAAAAAAAACATTGTTTTTTTTAATAACTTTTTTTTTTCTGAACGTATCTACTTCAAACTTCATATAAATGTTTCTTATTATCACTCAACATTTGTGAGTGTTGCAAGACTATTTCCAGAATTATGCCCCTTTTGAACTTAGACTTTTTTTTGAGAAATTGGTAATTTTTACTCCAACTTCTTCAATCATGATAGAATTTTCTTCAAACTCCCACATCAATATAATATGACAAGGTTTATAAATCTAGCATCCATATTTCCAGAATTATCTCCTCCTTAAACTTTTAATTTTTCCTATTTGTTCTTTTAACTTTCATTAACTTCAATTTCAAAATAAATATTCAATATTCATACCTTCATTACTAATTGTTCTTTGTTACAATCACATCATGTATGACATCGTTATCTCCTTTTTTTTTAAATTTTGCTTTTAAAATGTTATATTTTGATAACAGGGATGTTTAAAAAATAACTTTAGACTGTCCTTCAGTCCGTCTGTCTGTCTGTTCACTGTGATCACTTTTAAAGAACTTTTTCAACAAATTTACTTAAAATAGAAACATAAGTGAATGGCCCTTCAGAATGTTGCTTGGGCTCTTACCGGTAGGGGACTTATGGATTGCTTGCAATACTATGATAATTGCTTGTTCTGGAATATTTTGACACTGTTTTGCCAACTCCAGATACCTTGAATTTTATGTTTTTTCTTTTTTTTTCCAAATGGCTGAAGTGGTCCATTTATATCAAATCATATTTGAAAATGATCATTATGAAGCTGTTGTAACGCAATCTAAATTAAAAACATGTATAAATAGTTGTCAAAAATTAATGTACAATTTGTTTACTCACAACTCTTTTATTTAAATCTGCATAATTTCAAAACAACATTGTAAAGTACTAAATGTGTTAATGTAGACTTTGCAAAATTAATTCTTTCCCTCATACTTATGTATCCTTTCCGATGCCATTGTAGGAGAAATATTTTGCCACAAAGTTATCAATTTCATTCAATTCTTGTTCTTTCATTCATATGGTGTGATTTAGGAAAAGGCAGACTCAAATAATGTAATCACACTCAAAATAATTTGGCAGCTCAATTTAAATTTAAAGCTCATTTCCACTTACCATGTACACACATTTTGCAGTTATATGATCTAGATAAACTGCAATTGAATGGTCTGTGCGAATGAACTTTTTTGATATGCAATTCTTTGCGTTTATAACAGATGTTTCCCATTTGTTCAAATGATTGTACTAAGGCTAATGCCTTTTTACTTCCTACTTGTACAAAAATTTCATTTGTCCATATTCAAAAGCTGCATTGTGCATGACTTTCACTGTATAAGAATTCCTTTTATATAACATTCCCAAAATATAACATTCAACCATTGAAAAAACATATTTCAAATATGGTTTGAACATGGTTTGACTATGACCCAGGGGAGGCAGTTGACCAGTGAGTCCACACTGGTAGACACCTCTTTGCTCTAACTAAACTAGAGCATTATTTGTGAGTTACTGTTGAATCAAATATGCAAAGGTTAGCCCACATCATGGTCTTTTGGGGCCTTAGTTTAGTTATAAAATTCCAAATTTTAGCCCTAAAATTTCTATTATGTACCCTAAAATTCCTAATTTTAGCCCTAAAATTTCTAAAATATTGCCCTAAAATTTGCCCTTATTTTTTGTCGGAAGGTGCTGGACAGCCTGATATACATTAATATTCATTATGCACATTTTCTATTTCTGCAGTATGACTTTGCATTTACTATCAGTTAAACGGTTGCATCTAATGATATGGCTTGAATGAGCATGCTTTAAATATTAACTTATAAACACTATGTTAACTTGCAGATTAAACAAACATAGGTTTAAAAATTGTACTAAACAGCGTCGTGACGTTGATATACAGTCAAAGCATACACGACATGACTGATTGCTATTGCTCAGAAAACCCTTAAGCATCATGATATCTACGTGATGAATGATAACGTAGATATTGTATACTTTTTTGCTTTATTCTACACAGATAATCGTTAATACTTTTTATCATGTCAATTTATTTAATACAACGACATATTATCTAAATAATACCAACAGAAAGAATGTACAACTGTAAAGAAAAAAATATTTACCTTGGTTATGAGGATTGTTGGCTGTTCTACAATGTTTCGCTCAAATTTTCTGTATTATTTGCGAAGTTTGTCATTGGAAAAAAAACATGGCTGTCGTGAATTATTACGTCATTTCAAAATGTGATGACGTCATTTAGGTATACACAAGTTTGACTTCGTACTCAATTGCATTCGTACTGCAGTAACGTAAATACCGATAATGTAGATATTTTATGTTATGTTTGGCTTTAGCAAATGGAATTATGATTAAATATAAATTAGTCAATGTTTAATACTTATAATGTGAACGAAGTTTAATCAGTTTACATGTGTGTGGCTTTTGTATTGCTTGACGATTTTTTATATTTTAATTCACGTAGATATCACACTTTTATATAACATTCCAATCAATTGACGTTTGGCATCAATCTTAAAAACCGAACAAACCCTGTTGTAATTTTTGTTTTCTTAATTTAGAAATCAGACAGGTACAAACAATTTTAAATGTTCTTTAATCACAAAATGTTTTTAATAAGGAAAATTTAACATTTTAAAGAGATGTATAAGGTAGATATCTTAAATTTTGCGACATGCAAGAAACTTAAAAATAAACACTTTTTAGTTCTATCATCGTTATAAAACCTTGTGCTATCAAAAATTATGTCCTTTGTAAATATATCGCTGAAAAAACGGGTCTTAAGATACGTATCTATCATCGGTAAAAAGGTGCGCAAAATATGTTATAAAAAGGGGCGACAGGTATATTTTGCCAAAATTGCGGTCATAATTCAATTGAGAGTTGGAGACAAAAAAAACTCCCATAACCTTTTTCGTTGTATTGTATTTTATAAATAACCCATCTTCGAATATCATACTCTTGAAAATATTTTTTTTCATGTACCAAATTATTTCTAAAGGGTTACGACAATAAAATATTTGATTTGGTCCTTATTAGTGAGAAAGGGCGTAGAGTTTAGATACTAAGCATGAAATATTTTCTAGTTATGCATATAGCGTTGCACTTGTCCGTCCGTCTGTCCGTCCGTCCATCCGTACGTATGTCTGTCCATCCGTCCGTCTGTCTGTCCATACGTCCCGAAATCTTGTGAACACAACTCCTCTAAAACCGGATGGCAGATTTTGCTTAAACTTCCAGGGATGAACAACCTTAATGTGTAGATGGTAGTAAAGGAAGGAATTTTTGCTGCGACCAAATTTAACAGAATTATGGCCCTTTGTTGATTGTTTCATTATATACTATGTAGAAATTTTGTGAACGCAACTCCTCTTAAACCAGATGGCAGATTTTGCTTAAACTTCCAGGGATGAACAACCTTAATGTGTAGATGGTAGTGAAGGAAGGAATTTTTGCTGCAACCAAATTTAACAGAAATATGGCCCTTTGTTGATTTTTTCACTATATACTATATAGAAATTTTGTGAACGCAACTCCTCTTAAACCAGATGGCAGATTTTGCTTAAACTTCCAGGGATGAACAACCTTAATGTGTAGATGATAGTAAAGGAAGGAATTTTTGCTGCGACCAAATTTAACAGAATTATGGCCCTTTGTTGATTTTTTCACTATATACCATATAAATGTTGTCAGTGGGGGCATCCGTGTCCTTTTGACACAGTTCTAGTTTTTAGCTCACCTTGCACAAAGTGCAGGTGAGCTTTTAGGATGGCCAACCAAATGGCGTCCGTCGTCTGTTGTCCGTCCACATTTTAAATATTCTAAGGACATCTTCTATGATACCACAAGGCCAATGTTAATGAAACTTGGCAGGAAAACTCTTTGTATGAAGCTCTATCAAGATTGTTCAAAGAATTCCATTTCATGCAGAACTCTGGTTGCCATGGCAACCAAAAGAAAAATCTTTAAATATCTTCTTTTAAAGAACCGTAAGAGCTAGAGCTTAGATATTTGGCATGAAACATCTTCTAATGAGTGTCTACCAAGTTTGTTCAAATAAAAGCCCTAGGGTCAAAATTGGCCCCGCCCCAGGGGGTCATTGATTTTCCCTATATGCAAATAGTAAAAACTTAAAAAATCTTCTTTTAAAGAACCCAAAGAGCTAGAGCTAAGATATTTGGCATGAAACATCTTCTAGTGAGTGTCTACCAAGTTTGTTCAAATAAAAGCCCTGGGGTCAAAATTGGTCCCGCCCCAGGGGGTCATTGATTTTCCCTATATGCATATAGTAAAAACTTAAAAAATCTTCTTTTAAAGAACCCAAAGAGCTAGAGCTAAGATATTTAGCATGAAACATCTTCTAATGAGTGTCTACCAAGTTTGTTCAAATAAAAGCCCTGGGGTCAAAATTGGTCCCGCCCCAGGGGGTCATTGATTTTCCCTATATGCATATAGTAAAAACTTAAAAAATCTTCTTTTAAAGAACCCAAAGAGCTAGAGCTAAGATATTTAGCATGAAACATCTTCTAATGAGTGTCTACCAAGTTTGTTCAAATAAAAGCCCTGGGGTCAAAATTGGCCCCGCCCCAGGGGGTTCATTGATTTTCCCTATATGCATATAGTAAAAACTTAAAAAATCTTCTTTTAAAGAACCCAAAGAGCTAGAGCTTAGATATTTGACATGAAATATCTTCTAGTGAGTGTCTACCAAGTTTGTTCAAATAAAAGCCCTGGGGTCAAAACTGGCCCCGCCCTGGGGGGTCATTGATTTTCCCTATATGCATATAGTAAAAACTTAAAAAATCTTCTTTTAAAGAACCCAAAGAGCTAGAGCTAAGATATTTGGCATGAAACATCTTCTAGTGAATGTCTACCAAGTTTGTTCAAATAAAAGCCCTGGGGTCAAAATTGGTCCCGCCCCAGGGGGTCATTGATTTTCCCTATATGCATATAGTAAAAACTTAAAAAATCTTCTTTTAAAGAACCCAAAGAGCTAGAGCTAAGATATTTAGCATGAAACATTTTCTAATGAGTGTCTACCAAGTTTGTTCAAATAAAAGCCCTGAGGTCAAAATTGGCCCCTGCCCCAGGGGGTCATAGATTTTCCCTATATGCATATAGTAAAAACTTAAAACATCTTCTTTTAAAGAACCCAAAGAGCTAGAGCTAAGATATTTGACATGAAATATCTTCTAGTGAGTGTCTACCAAGTTTGTTCAAATAAAAGCCCTGGGGTCAAAATTGGTCCTGCCCCGGGGGGTCATTGATTTTCCCTATATGCATATAGTAAAAACTTAAAAAATCTTCTTTTAAAGAACCGTAAGAGCTAGAGCTTAGATATTTGGCATGGAACATCTTCTAGTGAATGTCTACCAAGTTTGTTCAAATAAAAGCCCTGGGGTCAAAATTGGCCCCGTCCCAGGGGGTCATAGATTTTCCCTATATGCATATAGTAAAAACTTAAAAAATCTTCTTTTAAAGAACCCAAAGAGCTAGAGCTAAGATATTTAGCATGAAACATCTTCTAATGAGTGTCTACCAAGTTTGATCAAATAAAAGCCCTGGGGTCAAAATTGGCCCCGCCCCAGGGGGTCATTGATTTTCCCTATATGCATATAGTAAAAACTTAAAAAATCTTCTTTTAAAGAACTCAAAGAGCTAGAGCTAAGATATTTAGCATGAAACATGTTCTAATGGGTGTCTACCAAGTATGTTCAAATAAAAGCCCTGGGGTCAAAACTGGCCCTGCCCCGGGGGTCATTGATTTTCCTTATATGTGTATAGCAAAAACTTAAAAATCTTCTTTGAAAAAGCCCAAATAGCTTGAGTTTAGATATTATACATGAAACATCTTTAAGTAAATATCTACAAAGTTTGTTCAAATAAAAGCCCGGGGGTCAAAACTGGCCCTGCCCCAGGGGTGTCATTGTTTTTAACTATATGTGTATAGTAAAAACTTAAAAATCTTCTTTTAAAAAAACCCAATGAGCTAGAACTTAGATGTTTAGCATGAAACATCTTCTTATGGGTGTCTACCAAGTCTGTTCAAATAAAAGCCCTTGGGTAAAAATTGACCCGGGGGGGGGGGGGGGGGCTATATACAGGTGAGCGACCTCAGGGCCATCATGGCCCTCTTGTTGTTTGTTTTGGGTTTTACGTCACATCGACACAGTATAGGTCATATCGCGAGTTAGTATCTACCAAGTTTGTTTAAATAAAAGTCCTGGGGTCAAAATTGGCCCCTCGGGGTGTGGGTCATTGTTTTTTCCTATATGTATATACAGGGCTGCCGATTTTCCGCGGATTCGCGGAAATCCGCGGATTTCGTGAGCTCCTGGGTCATTTTTGAGATCGATGTAAATTCGACAAAGACAATAAATTCATTCGTCATATTTTATACAGTACCCAAAAACCGGCACACTTCGGCTTTTATCGTTACGCTAGCCGCCTATGGTACGTCTGTAAGCCCTTTTCTCATTGGTCAAATCGAGTCTTTTCCGGCATTCTATTTTAGAATAACCAATCAAATTACAGTTTACATTGTCGCTCTTGTCTGTTGTCAAAATGCGTCAAAATGTCGGATAAGGAAGTCAAATTTAGAGTCCAGGAAATTGATTTTAGGGCATACCAAATCATCAGAATCCAGGAGCTTCCGGGGGCTTTGCCCCCTAGGCCCCCACCAGGGCTCTGCCCTGGACTTGCAAAGGGGGCTTGCGCAGCCCCCTTGACCCCCGGCGTATTTTCCTCGGATTTTGCAATTTGCTGTTGGCAGCCCTGTATATAGTAAAAACTTTAAAAAAATCTTCTTTTAAAAACCCCAAAGAGTTAGAGCTTAGATATTTATCATGAAACATCTTCTAATGGCTGTCTACCAAGTTTGTTCAAATAAAAGTCTCTGGTTTAAAATTGGCCCAGGGGCCTATATACAGGTGAGCGATTTCAGGGCCATCATGGCCCTCTTGTTAATGAAACCAAGTTTCATAAGACTGCTGGCATGGGAAAACAATCTTTAATGTCACTTACATATTGCATACTTCAAGAAATTTGTTTATTGTTACATATTTATATTATCTTTAAAATTGCAAGCGTAATTCACAAGGGTATTTTATTGTTCATTGTTAGATATACTGTTATTGATGGACAATGTTGATGGACATTGTGATGGAGAAGATAGACAACATGATTTCTCTCAGTTTATGAAGGAACTCCTAAACAATATTCCTCTAAAAAGCAGCGTAAGTCCATAGACAATTGGGAATGTAGATTGAAATTGTGACTCCCATCCGAGGCTTTAAAACCAGTTATATTCCGATTTTGCAGTGTTTTTTTATTTTCAATTTTCAAAACAACCAGTGGCTTTCCAGGAAGGGGAAAATAAAGCGCGATAAATCAGAAAAGGGGGAAATCAAATTATGGAATTTACCCACACATTTTTATAAATTTTTCAATTTCAATTCAATTAAACATGCATTGTACATAGCAGAGGCTATCTATTCTGCTGCATGTCATGGTTCTGGTGAAGAATGTGCACAAGGCATTTCAGGGGAACTTATAGCAATTTAAGGGGAAAATATACCTATTTTATGCTAGGGGAAACAGCCTTTATTCAACTGTAAAAGTCAGGGGGGGAGGAGGAGGGGGGGGGGGGGCAAATCACTGTTTTGTAAATTTAAACCTATGTACTTATGAAACAAATTCACTTATTCAAATAAGTCTGTAATAGTTTGTATGGTTAGAGTATGGACTGATATTTATCACTTAGAATTAATTTGATTTTAAAGGCACATGGTCACTAGTATGGGAGTCACTAGGATTGATCCACATGCCAAATGTCATTGTGTAAGTCCAAAGTAATACAATAAAAGCCCCACATAAATATATACAATTATTATCTCTATATGATTGTAATAAATTAATCAGTTTTCATAGATTAGATACAAAAATTTAAAGTTTTCCTTTTGGTATTTTGTGAAAGCTTAATGGCACTTATTGCATGGTGTTACCAATACTTTGGTTAAATGCATACATGAAATATGAATCAAGTAACATGGCCAATATTTCTTGATAATTAAATAATTTCATTTACATATAGTCCAAGAGATGGCAGGGTTTTATTGCAATTTACCGTATCACCAAAAGAAACATCGCCATTATGAAGCATATTGTTTGTAGTTTCTAAAAACCCATTTCTTAAGCTACGCAGCCCGGGCAAAAGTACAAAAATCTAAGATGGCCGCCAATATGGCCGCCAGAAATTACAAAATACCATATAATTTTTGTTTCTTGATTTTTTACATACGGATTTTGTACAAAGTAGTTTCAATTGCACAATATCAGATAAAATATGGCTAATTTATGTTTCAATCATGCAAAAATGACAATTATATGGCAAACTTTTAAATTATCACTATCAATTTACCAAAAAAGTGGTAAAAAATGGCATTTTTTGACAATATGATGACTTTCGTTTTTCCGTATTTACACAATATAAACAAAAATGCATTTAAAGTGTGTGCACTTTATCAATTTAACATAGTTAGACAATTTAAGCATAAAAAATCATTTTCTGGGCATTTATGCCGTAAGAGTAGATCTTCAAAAGTGGGTGGGGTAAAATTATTGAAAAAAAATAAATCAAAATTACAATATTCCCAAAACATGCCTTTACATTATAATTTCAGTTTAATGATAGTAGATTGTGTTTTAATTGTATTTTATTTATCATTTGAACATTTCTTGATAAGTTAAGCTTAACAATTTATTACCTGATCATTTATTACAGATGAGTACAGCTTCAAAAGTGGGTGGGGTAAAATAACCGAGAGAGAAAGAGGAGAAAAAAGAAGAAAAAAGTTCAAATTATTAAGCTTCTAAAACTTGCCTTTACTTTTCAATTTTAGTGTATTTATCATGTAATTAGTCGTCGGTAGAAACCGGCGACTATATTTGTAATAGTTTAATATTATACCTATGGTAGGAGAAGGCATTAATTTCTGTAAATAAAAGCATAACAATTACTGAACAATTAAAGACTACAATTGTTTTCAGTAATCTCAAAAATTCAAACATACAATAATGTTGCTAAATGAAATGAAATATTCGAATACTGACATCGTAAAAAGCAACATTACAATATTTATAAAATGAATTAATGACGTATCCCTATGGACCAGTCATTGAATTTAGGGATGCTTTTATTTTTTTAAAGTGTCAAGCGTTGCTATTTTATGATAAATAAATCATGCATGATATTTGAAATGACACTTTTAAATTATCTGGTTGTTTGTATCTTATGAGACCTATTCTATTTTTTATCTTATTTATTATAAACAGTTTCTCCCAGAATCACGTGACTACATGTTGTATGTTAGTGTTATGAAATCTATTAATAGTAACAAATGACTGATAAGATAGACATACAGGTAACATGTGAATGGTTGGCAGCTGATAAAGTGCAAATCAAAGTAATTTTGTATGAAAAATCTCGGTATGACAGTAGGGGTCGGAATCGTATTGGATACACAGAGAAAACTAATAAACCATCTTTGTGTTGATAGTTTATCCCACTGAAAGGCAATTAAACATTAACTTTATCGTATGTAACGACAGGAATATTGATTTCAGCTGAATAATATATTTTTTCGATAGTGCATAAGAATAATTTGTTTATGCAGACACCACTTTTACAGTAGAATTGCATTGTTTTATGCAATAATTAAGCATACATATTTTCATAGTCAATTTGCAAATATTCGATGATCGGTAATAATTTGTTGGTAATTATCGGATGCTGAAGAAAACCATACGTACAACGCTATATGTATAAAGTAGAATTACAAATAGAATTATAGTCATATCACTTGCTTTACAAGCCTCGATGACAAGGTGTTAGATTTTAAGTTAGTTTCAAATTGAAGACTGTAGGTTCGATAAAGTGATTTTTTATGTTTTCTTTTATAATACTTTTTGTATTTTGCAAAACTTGACCGTTTATCAAAATTATGAAATAAAAAAAGTGCTAGAAATGAAACACACGATTTATCAACTTATGTTTCATAAAGTTAAAAGATATAATAAAAATCAATTTATGAAAACTACACACAGGATTTGTCCGAGATTCGAACTTGCGCCTACTACATGTAGGTTCCGACTTCGTCATACTTACCATTAGGCCATCGAGCAGTATTAATTTTTATAATTATACATGTAATTATACTTACAATAAAATCGTTAACATTAATCATAATAAGTTATGTAAGCAAACGAAACAGCTCCCGAAAATTATTGAGTCTCGGGTAAATATTGCCAAACAATACTTGCTTATTTAATAATGATAACAGTTTCTTGACAACATTGCTAAGCAAGTTTGATTCAAATATGATGTTTTATTATAACATAAGATAAATTTTTTTGGCATAAAACTCTCATCAAGGAAGATATAATTGTGGCAAGTAAATGAAAACGTGTTTATGAATAAACATTACTCAACTTATTGTTCCTCTTTTCTTTATACTCGAACCATTAAACTGATATTTTCTTTTATTTATGATAATGCAATCATATTTCTATCCGGCGACTTGATGCTTTAGCATCAAAATCTCTACTTGTTGAATTTTGTGATAAGAAATATAAAGATTGTATTACATTAAAAGAAGAAAGAAACATCAAGTCATCGCAATTTAAAATTATCACAAAAAATGAATGGTACCGAAACACATTTTTGAGATTTTTGTTGCCTTTAGATATATCGTAGAATAAAATAATTTCATAGTTGTCTGTCTTTTATCAGTTGATTATAGAGCTCTTGACAAGTCATTGAAAGTAGTTACCTTACCATATATCTTAGAGTTTTAAAACTCTATAGGGAAAAATAGCACCTAAACCATTAAATATAATGTTTCATCAACTTGCTTTTATTGTTCTATAATATATGTTTAAACAATTATATGATGGCATTTTTTTATGTTTTGAAAACAAAAATATTGTATGGCATAAATACTTTTTTTGAAAAAGATTTTTTGATAATGTTCTTCCAGCAAAAAGTTGTAATATGGATATTCGATTTCATTACATTTTAATATAAACTTTAATTTTGGTTGATTGGTATCATTTAAAACTTTGACTACTATAATATCTAACATGAAAGAAAAGAGAAATGGTTATTTCATTGATTGAAAGGAGCATTTATTAATGAATGTTGTTGCAAATAACATACTGAATAAAATCACAGTCATAGAAAATTGCAATAGTGGATAGCGAAAGGTTTTTAAGTCTTTATCATATCAATTAAACTTAAAACACAATTTAAATACATATATTCATATAAGTATAGATGCATTAATACATTCTGCACAAAAAAACATCAATTTCAAATATTTAAAATAAAAGCAGAAATTTTATCCCCTCCCCTACAAAAAATTGAGAAAAATTATTATTTGTACAGGTTTCCAATTTCCCTTATTTAAATTTGGGGCCCATCCCTTTTGCATTTTTTCCCAAAAATTTGGGGCACTGAGGGTCTTTAAAGTAAATTTAATTTTATTCTTTCCGGGGTTTTTTTAAAAATTTAAAAAAAAAATTTTTTTAAAACATTATTTTCCGAGTGTACTTTTCAAAAATCAAGTAAACCTTGAATTTCCCTTTTCAAATTGAAAAATAGATGGCGTTTTTTTTCCCAAACGACTTTTTCTTTCATGGATTTTTTTTTAAAAAAATTAAAATTTTTTTTTTTAAAACTTGATTTGATTTTTTTGTCACCCGTTTAAAAAAAAAATGTTTTGGCCCCAAAGTCCCCCTGTTTTTCTTTTTAATGCGGTTAAAATACTCTTTCGGGTAAACAAGGTTTGCATTTTTAAAGGTCGATTAAAATTGTGGGCCCAAATACCCCACTTTTAAAAATGTACTGGCGAAAAAAGTCACATTGAGTTTTCCATATAAACCTCATTTTAAACATCCGAAGGTTTAAAAAATTAAAATTTTCCCTATTTCTTTCAAAAGGGCAAAAAAGGAAGTTTTTTGGGGCGGGGAAAGGGAAAATTTTGAAACCTACCCAGCCCATCCATGAACGGGTTCAATCAACAAAGAAATCAACTTTTTAAATTTTTTACTGTTTTTTGGGAATTTTTCTTTGGGGATTGTTTTTTCCCCTAAAAACCACTGAATTTATGCCAACTAGCATTTTTTTAAAGAATACTACTCAAAAACGTAAAAAAGAAAAATAGAAAGATACAAATATAAACTTTTAAAAACTCGTTCTTTTTAAATCCTTTTTTTGGAAATGATTTTTTTGCAAGTTTCTAAAAAACGTCCCCCAAAAGAAAATTAAGTATTTTAAAAAAAAATGTAATAAAATTTAAAATAGTGAAATTT